GCGGCAGGGGCTGACCTGACTTGATGACCTGCTCGATGGCCATGAGGTACTCGTCAAAGTCCTCCGACAGCACCGACTTGACCAGCCTGGTCTTGTACACTGCGGGGACAGCGTGGGTCATGGGCAGGGCTGACCTGGGCAGGGGAGGCACCCTGGCCTGCAAGTGCACTGGGCATGTGGCTCCCGGTCCAGCAGGGACGTGCGGGGTCACAGCCAGTCACAGTCACCGTCCCACACGCAGTCACAGCCACCCACAAATACAGTCACATACACAAGGACAGCTGCTCACGTACAGCCGTCCTCAATCACGGCCTCCCACAACCGCGGCTATGCACAACTACAACCTCACGGTTGCACGCACGCCACCTTTTCTCACGTTCCCACTCACACCCAACAGTCACCCACGCCCGCACCTGCCACCGCACCATCTGACACACGGAGCCACGGCCACGCACGCCGTCCACGTGCACGAACCCCTGGCCCATCCCCCACTCACCGTAGTCCACCCCTGGCTCACAGGCCTTCTCCAGACGCTCCTCCAGGGTGACCTTGTCCTCCGACTTTTGCATGAAGCAGTTCTCTGCAGGGTGGGGATAGGGACGGGGTCTTAGCCCTTCGTCTTGTCCAGGGCCCAAGAGTGTGGCCAGCCCTAGGAGCCTACCCTTCTTGGTGTCCACTGGGTGTGGCCTTTGGGGTCCCCTGGGTCCCCACCCTGCCCATGGGAGGGGGCATCTGGGTGGGTGTGACTCACTCAGGCCCACCCTTTCCCACTCCCTGGGGACACCCACCCTCAGCACAGCGGCACAGTTCGTTGTGGCAGAGTTTGCTCAGCTTTCCGTCCTCCTTCTCCGGGTGGTAGAACTGGGTACAACTTTCCTCTGTGGGCAGAGGGGATGGTGAGGGGGTCAGAGGGCTAGGGTCCTTATCCCAGAGACCATGCCTGGAAGGCTCAGGTCCCTAATTCTCCGTCCCTCAGACCTGGAGATGCTGGATCTCCAATGCTCAGATCTGTTGGGCACTCAGACCCCCACGTTTCTGATTTTGGGGACCCTCAGACCACCCCCCAACTCTCAGATCTCCAACTTGCAAATCTTTGTGACCCTCAGACCCCTAACCCTCAGGTCCCTAGAATCCTTAGACCCTCAGTCTCAGATCCTCTAACTCACACACACCAGGGGCCCCCAGACCCCTGGAACCGTCGGACCCCCAACTCTCAGATCCCTGGGACCCTCAGACCCCGGGCCCTGGCTTGGCGGCTCACCCAGGTTGTAATAGGAGTAGACCTTGACTGCCCCAGGCTGGATAAGCTCCACATTAAAGTACTGGTGAACTTTGAAGGACAGACAGTCGTCCTCGGAGTGTGAGACCTAAGTGGGAAGGAGGCGCTTGGTCAGTGGGGTGACGTGGGGGCCGTCCAGCATAGGGTCCTGGGAGCTGGAGCAGTGGTGGAGAAACTAAAGGATCGAGGAAGGGTAGGGGTGGTCGGGGAAGAGGAAGTGGAGAAGATGGATGAGCAGTTCAGCAAGTCCGTCTTCTTGTTCTCCTATGCTCACAGCTAGACCACAGTTCTCAGCTGCCCCCTCCTTTCCATGAGGTGTGGCCAGGTCACTGAGCTCTGACCCACAGATTGCTATCGATGTCCGTAAAAACATCCCATGCATGATGATCTTCTTGTCTTCTAGAAAGAAGGGATCCTGCAGAGGACTCCCAAGATCCCGGGGACGGTCGAGCCCCCATATGGAAGGTGCTTGGATCCCTGAGTGACTGTGTGGAGCAGAGGGCTCCTTCCCTATCTCTGGAACGAACCGGACTCTACGTGAGTGAGAAATACAAGTCTGTTGTGTTGAGACCCCATATTCTCAGGGGTTCTGTTCTAGTAGCTGGTGTTACTTATGCTAAGGTGGGGTGGGGGGACTTGGGGGTATCGGGAATTAGCAGGGAAAATGTGGGGATGGGAGAATGGGAAGAAATAGGGAGGGGAGAGGAGAGAGCCCAAATCGTAGAGATGGAGAGAGCAGGAGAGTTCCCAATGGAGAGAAAATAACAGAAGAGAGAAACATGCGGAGAAAGGAACAAAGGTGGGGACAGAGGCAGTGGGCAAGGCAGGTCTCTTCTCTCTGTGAAGCACTTTTTTAAATGACCAAGGTGGCTCTTCTCCAATGGTTGCTGAAACTTCTGATGAGAGGTTGGAGGGAGCAAGTGCAAAATAAGGTTGAAACATCAGTGGTCAGAAGGTGACCTGTTTATAGGTGGTTCTGGGTTGACCACCTTATTGTCCAAGCTTCTCCCCTTACCACCCAACAGCACAGACTCTGTCTCCCCTAGCCAAGGGCCAGCCTGACTTAGAGACAAAAGCTGAGGGGAAAAGAAAAGGCTGGCCAGATACGGGTTAAACCTCGCAGGGGACGGTGCAGCCTTACCTTGTCCAGGTAGATGATGAGGGTGTTCTTTTCCGAGTAGGCTTTGTTCAGCTCGTACTTAGCGATGTATCTGTCCACGCCGGTGCTCAGCTGGGGAAGGGTGGAGCTTGTGAAAAATCTCTCCTGGACTCTTCTCTCCCTGCAGGCTCTTCCAGACCCCAGAGGCTCCTCCCCACTTAACCCAGCCGCGGAGCCCTTCATACCAGCTTGAGGTCATCCATGTCAGGAGCGTAGCCAGTCATCATGGATATGTCCAGGATAGACATCGTGGCGTCGTGGTCTCCCAGGTACCTGGACAGAGCAGGAAGAAAGGCATTGGGTCCCAGAGTGGGGTCAGCCCCAGGGGTCCGTGTCTGGACAAGGGGGTCTAGTTAGCGGCTGAGGCTTCTAGTTTCCATATATCAGCATAGAGGGATGTTAAAGTTCAGAAAACACTTCCCCAAGGGGGAAAAAAGGTAAGGTAGTGTAACAATCCAGGTAATTGAAGAGTTCGGACTCTGGACCCAACTGCATGGGTTCAAACCCCAGCTCTGTAGAACATTTGATGAGTTTTTGGACCCCTCCATGCCCAAGTTCTTCTAGAAAATGAAGACAAGAATACAGGTGGCCCTCTCTTTGCACAATTTAGTTACCACGATCCGGTTAAATAACACTAGTCTGCCAACGACATGGCTCAAATTTCAGTACCTCAGTATATTAGCTATGAGTAATTGCATAAAGTATAAATTTAGTGGCTCACTCTTCAGTCCACAGATCCCTACGTAAATAACAGAGGAGCCTCATGGTCAATGACCAGTCATTGTCCCTGCTTTCGAAGCCTGTTGGTGATCGGTCACTGAGCGCCTGTTATCCAGATCATGCACAGACAGCAAAGCGCGTAGTTGTGTTGCCTCCTTGTCTCCTGGCGATAAACCCACATGATGTCTCACAGCAGTGGATCGTCGAAAGAGGGAATTGGCCAACCAAGATGAAAATGCACCAAGGAAATGAAAAGCAATGATGCCAGAAAGGAACTTCAAATAGAACATCAATGGAATTATACAAGAATAGCAGACCATGGGAACGTGTACTCTGCTGCCGTGTGAAGGAAGAGACAGCTGTTCAGGGAGCTTAGTGAAGGGAAATTTAGCATAAATGAGGAAGGTGGTAGAGACAAAAAGGATGAAGATATCCCAGAGGAAGGGATGCTGGGGGTTGGTGGGGGGGACCTCACCTTAAAGGAACTCTTGGAGAAATTTCATAACATCGAAAGCACAAAGGATAAAATGTTGGAAGCTGATCCCAACTTAGAAAGGGGCATGGCCATTTACTCTGACATAGTAAAGATGCTTACTCCATATCATAAGTGATACAGAGAGAAGTCAAGCGTTGTCCAAACTACAGTCCTCCCCACAAGTGTTTTACAAATGGAAAAAAAAACCACCTTTATCTCAATGTTCTAGTGTTTTAAATTATAGCATACTCAAATGCTCATATTACTACGTTTTTCATTTTTCCTATATCCTTATGTTGTGATGGAAACATTTAAAGATCATGGAATGATTGTGTAACTTTCCCCGCTGATTTTGAAGTTTGCTTTGACGGTCTCAACTTCCACAGTTGTTGCTACGTCATGCACTGTGCCGTCCAAAGCAAGGACTGTCTGTGCTCTGCTTTGTGGCAGATACTTAGAACGGTACTAGACACACAGTACACTCGGAGAATATTGGATGTCATGGATATTATTTGTAAGAAGTCTTGCTAGAGACAGAGGGACCGCCAAGATGAGCCCAGCTTGAAGGCCAAGAAGACCTAGCTTCTTACTTGGTGCAGATGTCGAGGATCATAGTGCTTTTGGCATCCTGAGGTTTCTTTTCTAGAAACAGAGAAGACAGAAAGATGGGAGGGGGTATACCTAGGTCCGAACTCAAGAGTGGGGCAGACATCAGAATAGGGGTGGGAGGAAGGTGAGAGATAGGGCCTTCATTTATTTTACCTGTTTCTGGGGCTGGCCTTATGGTGACCTTGAGGTTGAACTTCTTACAGGTGATTTGGCCTTTGATCTTGGCATGGTACACTGTCACCACCTGCAAGATGGGAGGGAAGAAAAAGTGTCAGTTCATGGGACTAGGGACTACTGGGTACAGGAAGGAGAGGGTCCCTCCAGGGCAGAGGGGCTGGAATGAGGTTGTGGGCCAGGCGGGCGTGGGTTCCTGTTCCTTACCGACAAAGTGCCTTGGCCTTTCCCTTCAGCTGTTAATGTGAAACCCTCGTTTTCCTTGGTCTGCAGAGAGTGGGGAGAGAGAAGAGAGGGTGTCGGCAACCGAGCCTTCTTCTGCCTGGTCATCTGACCTCCCTCTTGCCTCCCAGCAAACCCTGGCTGACGTGGAAGGTGACAACGAGGAGGGCTTGGCCGGGTGACTGTACCTCTTCTGACCGCAGGAGGCTAGAAGATTCCCAGAGGATGCGGTGCCTGATTTCGGAGCTACGGCTGGGCAGGTGGATGGACACATCCAGGTTCAAATCCTTGTGGTCAGGGACATCCTTTTGGTATTGGGCCAAGGCTTGGAACACCATGAAGGTGGCCTAGAACCCACCAGAGAGTGCAGGAGTGAGATTGGAGGTCATCAGACACTGAGGACATGTTCCAGAACTCTCCAAGGGACAGAAACTTAGACCAGGGCTTGGAGTTGCTGACAACATGTCTAGAATCCATCAGAAATCTGGATGTAAGATTGAAGGTCTAGCAACCCTGAGGATGTGATTTTGCCCCATCCAGAGAACAGAGTCTTAGACCAGGGCTTGGGGACATTAAGAATGTATCTAGAATCCACTCATGAAAAAAAGAATAAAATTGGAGCCTGGGAACGCTAGAACCCAAAAGTGACACTGAGAATGTAACACTGAGAATGTGACTGAGAGCCCTCCAGAAAGAAAGGAGGTCAAACCAGAACCTAAAATTACTGAAACTGCGGTCTAGTAGCCACCAGGGAGAGAGGGGGGCTGGATTTTGCTCTAGAGTCACTGAGAACCTAGTTTAGAACCCACCGGTGAGAGAGGGTGGCATTGGGAGTCTGGCGGGACTGGGAACATGGCCTAGAATCCACCGGTGACAGAGGGTGACATCGGGAGTACTGGTGGAACTGAGAACATGGTCTAGAACCCACCAGTGACAGAGGGTGCCATTGGGAGTCCTAGTGGTATTGGGAACATAATCTAGAACCCATTGGTGAGAGATGGTGACACTGGGAGTCCTGGTGGGACTGAGAACACGGCCTAGAACCCACTGGTGACAGAGGGTGACATCGGGAGCCTGATGGAACCGAGAACATGGGCTAGAACCCACCAGTGACAGAGGGTGACATCGGGAGCCTGATGGAACTGAGAACATAATCTAGACTCACCAGTGAGACAGGGTTAAGATTCCAAGCCTGGTGGAACTTGGAATATGGTCTAGAACCCAACAGTAAGAGAGGATAAGATTGAGAGCCCGGTGGGACTGAGAACTTGGCCCAGAACCCAGAACAAGATGGAGAGAGTGGCTCACACCGGAACCCGGCCCCTGAGAACATAGTCTAGCCACCGGGAGGGAGGAGGAGACGCAAAACACAGAAGAACTGCCCCTCCGGGTCTCAGCGTCTTCTCCAGGAGGCCAGTGGGGGCCGCAGGAGGCAGGATGCATGTGCCCGGGGGACGGGGACCCACTCGCCTGGGTGGAGCCGTAGCCGCCGCCGTAGTATCTCTGCTCGTTGAGCCAGCGCACAACGGGTGGCACCGTGTCGAAGTCTTTCAGCAGCAGCAGGGCCAAGAGGGCGTAGGATGTCGCCTCCACGTTGTAGAGCTGCTTCCCAGGCTCTTCCCAGCGGTTCTTTTCTGCAGAGAGGACGCCCCACCCAACGCCAATGCTCACTGCCCCGTTCAGCCTTGGGAGAGCTCAGGAAAAGCTCCGAGAAAAACTCGTGCTAGACGTCTCAGCGTTCGGCTGTCCCCACTGACATTCAGTTCTCTCTTCTCCCATCAGCCCTCACGCCTCCCTTTGAACTGAATGCTCCATACACACTTGTTGAACGAGCGACGCACCAAACCTTCTTGCGTGGTTTACAGTGAGGACTTGGTACACCCCAGAGCCATGCATCCCAGCTCAGTTTAGGACCGTCTGTCCCACACTGGCTTAGAGTCATCCATCCCGGCTCACAATCGCCCACCCCAAACCCCAGCCGTGCATCTCCCCTCGCCCCGCCAGGCAGCCCCTCACCTGTGGCTGTGTTCAGGAATTTGTCGAGGATGGGGCCGTCCAACTTGTCCATCTGGGCCAGGGCGTAGGCAGCAATGGCCACAGTGTACGGTCTCCTTAGGTTCAGGTAGTTGGCTGCGAGGAATTCTCCTGCTTTGTTGATGCTACCTGGCAGGCTCTACGAGAAAGAGGATCGGTTACCCTGGTCATTGCTGCCATACAAGCACCACTTCCTGGGTACCAGGGGTTTCTGTCCTTGCGACATATATATGTCTTCGATCTGCCTGTTTTTGAGGGTTTCCCAGATATTTTGGCCACCACAAGCTGCCTCGTTGGTGAATACCTATCATGCACCTGGAGAAGTCTATACCCCGGGTGGTGTGCTGGTAGGAGTTTAACAATGGGCTCTCCAGTGGGAGGGTCAGAGGCGGGCGCTGGTGTAGAATGACTGCCAATGTCTGTGGTGTAAATACTTTCACCAGGACCAATTTCAAGCCATCGACGTGGCATCATTGAACAAAGTGTTGGGAAGAGATGTTCCAAACAGCCACTCATACGCTGTCGCATGTATCCGATTGAGCACACCACTGTGAACACCTCTCATCCAACCATCGTCTTCCTCTCATAGCTCACTTACTATCCACTCATTTAACCTCATAAAACCCTAGGAGATGAGGATGCTGATATCTCGAGAGATGTAGTTAATTTTGCCAAGACCACCTAGGTCGTCAGTGGCCGAGTCAGGATCCAAACCTCCAGAGAATCCTATAAATACAAAAATTATCACCCCCGTTTTACAGAGGCACACACTGAGTGAGGCCCAAGGGGGAAGTGCCCGAGAGGCAGGATTTGCAGTTGGTAAAGAACGCACTCTCAATACCCCAGTTTAAAGCAGACGGAGCCGTGACAGACTCTCGGGGGACCGTCTCTCTAAACTTCTCTGCCACAGAATCAAACCCAGAGGAAAAAGGGACAGTGAAGAACCAATGGTTGTCACCGCTTCCCACGTGGGGTCAGGGACCCCTTTGAACATCTCCTGCAAGATCCTCCGGACTAAGGAGATCACCTTAGCTCCGAATCCTGAGTTTTCTTTAAGCGAGCAGCAAGGTTGTGACGCAGAAAGCACTTGGGCTAAAGGAGCTTTAGGAAAATGGGCTAAAAACTCTCTGAAAATGGTAAAGTAGACAGAAATGATCTTCTCGTTGATCTCTTAGCGCTTCAGTTTTCTCATCTGCAAACTGGGAATAATAAGACTAGTCTCTCTCTCGGGCTGTGACAAGGATTATGGGACTTAATCGTGTGAAACTCCCAGAGAGGGGGTGGTCTTATTAAGTGCTCCGTACACGTTAGGTATTATTATGGCCGCTGTGGTGGCTGTTGTACTGGGGAGGGCTGGAAACGTCCAGAATGCAAGATCTCACCCTCCAGCGTGGACGCGGGGGGGAGGACAGGGGAGGGTGGGAAGAGACACCTACATTGACTTGCCCCTCGCAGATGTCTTTAGCCTCCTGCAGCGCGATGAGGACAAAGGCGGTGAGGGCCATGTCTTTCTCCGTGTTCTCCCGGAAGCCACCCTGGGATGGGGAGCAGAAAGCAAGGATGGGGTCACCAGGGTGTCCACACTTGCCAATCAGCGCCCCCTGCAGAATCTCAGGGGTTCTGCTCAGAACTGAGTCTCTTCCTGGTGCCCATCCCACCCCCCGCCCATGAGCCAGGAAGGTCAAACTCTTTAGCATTCATTCAATTATTTGTTCTTCTTGCAAATGTTCATGGAAGGCCACTGTGCTGGCACCGAGGGTACAATAATGGACAGAAACCAGACACCAGCCCTAGCCTTCATGGAGCTCCTCGTCTGGTCGGGAAGATGAACATGAACCCACCAACTCCTCGAGAGATATATAATTACAAACTGATGAGTGCTGTGCAGAAGAGGAGGACACAGCAGTAAGAATGAGCTGTGGGAGTGTGACCCAGTCAGGGAGGACAGGAAAGATGTCCCTGAGGAAGTCATCTCTCAAGGCGGGCAAGGGTTGGCATGGTAGGCAGCAGGAATAGCATGTGCAAAGGCCCTGAGGCAGGATAGAGCACAATTCCTATCAGTATGGATAGAGTGTGGAAAGAGGGGGAAGGCGGCAAGGCTGGAAGCCCGAAAGGTCAGATTGAAGCAGTGTTTTGAGCACGCATCAGCATCCTCTGGGGGGGGCGTTTGGGGAGGGCTTATTAAAACTCAAAATCCTGGACCCTAGAATTTCCAATTCAATGGGTCTGGGGTCCCGTTAACAAGTCTATAACTATGGCTGCTGCTGCCGCTGTTGGTTTGCAGACCACACTTTGAGAACCGGGACTCTAAGGAATTCTGTGTTTATTTTAAGAGCCACGGGACTTTCTAAGGACTGATCTGACTGAATTTGAAAAAACATCACAGCAGCTGCTATGTGGCAAGTGTCAACGAAAGTGGGAGAATGACCATGTAGTGGCTTCTGCAAGGTCTGAATGGGAGGGGAGGGGCGATCGGGCCAGGGGCTAGCAGTGATGATGGGGAGAAAGGATGACCCCTGCACCATCCATGTAGCAGGAGGGGTCAGGAGCTGGGGACAGGCTGGATGTGCCCGGGGGATTCCAGAGCCTCTGCATTTGGGATAAAAATTCTTAATAATTCCTGAACAAGGAGTCATGCATTTTCACCTTGCCCCGGGCTCCACGGGTCTCTGTTTTTGCAATGTTAGAGGGACACCCCTGGCTCCTTTATCTCTCTGTCCCCTAATCATCCCCAACCCCACAAAGCGAACCAGGCAGTGGCAGCAGGAGGAAGTCTTTCTCCCGCCCATCCTGTGAGGCTCAGGCGGCCCCACTGTGCCTTGAACCCCAGTCTCTTACGATCATTTCTTGGTGTATCACCGGCCCATCCTCCTGGAAGACGCCATCGGGCTTCTGTTTCTCCAAGATCAGCCACTTCACGGCCCCACAGAGGACCTGGGAGTCGATGGCAATGAGGTTGACGGCCAAAGAGAAGACCTTGACCACGTAGGCAGTCAGCCTGGGGGGGGTGGGCACAGAGCGTGAGCCAATCGGCTCTGAAATCCAGAGACTGCCACCCCATCCAGCCAATGAGCAGGGAGGGGCAGGGCCTGGCCCGATGGGTTTGCCCCGTTTCTCTGCCCCAGTCCCGGGGAGCCAGCTGCTGCGTGCAGTCGGTGCCTGAATGATGTTCAGTGACCACTGGACACTCAGTCAGCGGATTCTGCAAGCAGAGGGGTCCAGAGTGGTGTCGCACAGAGGGCTGTTTGGGCGAGGCTGGCCTAGGGGACCCCACCCCTGTTCAGGGGGGCGCAAGGCCGAGGCTGGCCGGGCTGACGGTGGAGACTCACCAGGTGCTGGGGGTCCGGTTCAGGAAGGCCGCGTAGGCCGAGCTGGGTTGTTTAAAGGTCAGCTGCTGGGTGTACCCTGCAGGGAACAGAGAGTGTCCCCAAAGGAGCCGGGGCTGAGCAGAGGGGTTACCCCAGGGAGAGGAGGTGGGGGCACAGAAGAGGGGACAGGGGTGCAGTGAGGGGCGCTCTGAGAGGGGGCACCCACCCTTTTTGATGAGCTCCAAGGCCTCCTGCCGCTTCTCCAAGCCGAACTTGTCCCACTGCTCTGTGTGGTCCAGGTAGTGCACGGCGATGACCGTGGGTGTCATGCCTATCATGTTCTGCTCCCCGCAGCCCGAGGGGGTCACAATGAGATGCTTCAGCCGATTGCCATCGATGGCATCCTCTGCCATCTGGGCCACCGGAGTCCCTGCAGCCAGACAGGAGGACATTGCTCAAGCCAAGGGACCCACCGTGGAGTGAGGAGGGTCCCAGCTGCCCAGGGCCAAAGTGCTCAGGGGCAGGTAAGGACTGGGAGGGTGTGACTGGGGCCCGGGTCTGCATTTGGGGGGAGGGGGACTTGTGCTTCACAGGGGCCTCCCGGTACCTGGATCTCTTGTTTCAGCAACAGTGAAATAATTCCGGTAACAAGATCCATGAGTACTTATATCACGCTTAATGTCACTTGCCAGGCTCTGAACTAAGAACACCACCTAGTATCTCATTTAATCCTCACACCGACCCTTGGAGGGAGATACTATTAGGCCCCCGATCACACAGGAGGAAACCAAGGCTCTTGCCCCAAAGCTGCTTTAGAGCTCACAGGTTGCAAGGCCCCCTCTTCCCTCCCAAGCAGTGAGCTCCAGACTTTCTGCTCTTGAATGAAACTGCTTCTTCCTGAAACGTATTTACCGGTGAAAGCGCCGGGAGGCGTCTCTAAGACAGATCACAGAGGGGCTGCTCTGGTGGAAGGCGGGGAGGGAGGTGCAGTGGTTAAGCACCTCCAGAATTAGATGGAACTCAGCTCCCTGCATCCCTTCACAGGGTTCACGTCCCCCCACCCACCCCGTGCCTTCCCGGGTCCCGTGGGGTCAGGGCCAAGGGCGTCTCACCTTGCAGGAGAATACTGGTCTCAGATTCCGTGTCTGGGACTTGGTCACTGAGGTCTGCAGGAGGGATGTCCTCTCTTTGCACGCCCCCTGCAGGGGAGTGAGAGACACCGATGGCACCGGCCCCCTCCTCCTCCCACCTTGCCCGCCATGACCATTCCCAGGGCGTGGGGCCAACTCCTGCAACTCACTCACCTTGGCCCAGGTGTTCTGGATCCAGTGTGCGAACCGCCACAGTTTTGTTGATTCTAATTCCTTCCGGCTATGCAGTGGTGGTGGTGGTGGTGGCAGGGGTCGGGTGAATAAAAGGACAGACAGACACACAGAGGGTCAGGAGCGCACTGTTGTGAAGATTACCCTAGCACAGGCGTCAACGTCTCTGAATCTGGCTTCACCCTTTTCTAGCTGTGTGACTAGGGATCAGTTACTTAACCTCTCTGTGCTTCATCTTCCTCCCTTATGAGGAGGAGGTGATGCAAACACACCTACCCTATACCACATATGTGATGTGTTGTGCCAATTCATCACAGAATTATAAATTAATAACGAAATCCTAAAACCTTTAGAAATCTTCACATGTGCCTAGAAGCTTTACTCGGGTTAACTCATTTAATCCTCGCAACAACCCAGTGGGGTGGGTACTACTATTATCCATCTCATTTTTAAAGATGAGGAGACCAGAGAGGTTAAGTAACCTGCCCAAGGTCACACAGCTAGCAGAACAGAATTGGGGTTTGAGTTTGAACCTGGTAGTTTGGCTCCAGAGCCTGTGTTTTTAACCTCGTTTCTCTCAAATATCTCTTAAATAAAAAAATGTGCATAAAGGATTCAGCACAGTGCCAGGCACATAGTAAATGCTCAATAAATATAACCTATGTTAGTTAGTACTATATTAAAAGTGTAAGTCAAGCCCTCACGTGTGTCTACAAAAAAAAAAACTCCCATGGTGGACAGCTGCTGTTTTTGCCTTCCCAGAACTTAATTCTCCTTTCACCTGGTAATAACACCCAGGTTTTCCTTTGGAGAGTGAGTTTCCTCCAATAATATGCTGACAAAAGAGTAACAGCCAGCTCTCCAGGAAGGCAGGCTCTGATTGGCAGCACTGCCAATTTCTGCGGTGTAAACACCCCCAGCATAATTGATTTCAAGCTACCGACAGCAGTGAGTCCAGAGTTGGGAAGACTTGGGCACAATTGCTTCCAACACACTCCTGGGTTTCACTCTCAGGAGCTCTGTACTGAGACATTTTTGTGCCGGAGACCAAAGCAAACACACCTACGTCCCTAAGTATATGTTTTCGTGTATTTTTTTAATGGTTCATTTTATCTCACAGCATTCGTTGAAAAAAAATATGAACGTGTTTCCATTAAAGCTAGAAAATAGAAATTATAATAAATTCTGGTTTGGGTAGAAACACATCTCAAGATGAAATGACATTGTCAGTTTTCATATACTTGCCTTTCAGTGTTTCAATATTTTTTCAAGTATGTTAACATTTTGAAAGAATTAACCATTAATATTAACATGCAATTAACATGCAAACATATACACGGGGGAACTCGTTTTTTCTTTTGCCTTAGGCTCTTATATGGCTTGGCTTGACGCTATAGAAGCCTGTCTCTATTTAAAATATTGATAATCGTTCACTGTCGATATTTTTTATTAACCTCTTGATTTCTTAAAAAATTCCATTAAAGGGTGTAGAGTATCTGGAGAGTTCTGCAAGACAAAAAGAATTCCAGAGATGGAGGGTGGGGATGGTTGCATAGCAATGCAAATGTCCTTAATGCCACTGAACTGTGCAATTAAAAACGGTTAAGATGCTAACTTTTATGTCATGTGTATTTTGCTCCAATAAAAATGGAAATAAAACGGAATAAGAGGAAATATCATTTAACATAATAATCACGGCAGTGATAATAATTTTTAACCTGCATTAAAATATCATTGATCTCATAAAGAAATGTGGTGTATACACACAGTGGAATACTATTCGGCCATAAAAAAGAATGAAATCCTGTCGTTCGCGGCAACACGGGTGAAACTGGGGGACGTTATGTTTAGTGAAATAAGCCGGGCAAGTAAGTTAAACACCGCATGCAGGCCGGGCGCGGTGGCTCACGCCTGTAATCCTAGCACTCTGGGAGGCCGAGGCGGGAGGATTGCTTGAGCTCAGGAGTTCAAGACCAGCCTGAGCAAGAGCGAGACCCTGTCTCTATAAAAAAAACAAAAACAAAAACGCCGCATGTTTTCAACTCATAAGTGGAAGCTAAAAAACGCTGATTTCATAGAAGTAAAAAGTAGAACGGAGGATACTGGAGTCTGGGAAGGGTAGAGGGAAGGATGGGGGACATTTGCTAAAGGATACAAAATTACACCTAGATGGGAGGAATAAGTCCTACTGTTCTACACCACTGGAGGACGGCTACAGTTAACAATAATATATAGTTTCCGATAGCTAGAAGGAGGATATTAAATGTTCCCAAAGAAATAATAAATGCTGGAGATGATGATATGCCAATTGCCCTGATCTGATCACTTTACATTATATGTATCAAAGCATCACTATGTACCCTATAAATATGTATAACTATTATGTAACAATTAAAAAAACGAAATTAAAAAAATATAAAAAAGTAGCATCGATCTTGATTACTGAGCTTTTTGGCACCCCCTAAAATTCTGTGCCTGGGGCTGATATCTCCCCCGCCTTACCCTAATCCTAGCTCTGCTCCTGGACTTCTAGGACTTCTGAATCTCCTAAGCTGGGCACGGTGATTGTTTGTGTCCCAGAGCCTGGGTCTCCAACATGGGTCAACAGTCCAGAGACCAAGAGCCTTCCCTGAAGGACAAGGGGCTGCGGGTGCCCCGAGAACTCACCACGACCCTCAGGGTCTTCCTGACACCGTCGCTGATGAAGCGATTGTAGACGGCAGCCTTGACTTCCACCTCCTGAAGGCCGACCTTCAGGGGCACGATGACATAAGGTATAGCCAGCGAGGACTTGGGCTGGATGGTGACAGTCTGCTGGTGGCGCTTCTTGGCGGTGGCCAGGCTGCAGAAGGCTGGATTGTGGAGCAGTTCCACCCTCACCTGGCAGGGAGAGAAGGTATGAAGGCGAGGGGGTGCGCGACGGGCTGCCCCCTTCCAGCCTCCGTCTGGTCTCCGCCACGCCAGGGGCCCACCTTGAGCTCTTCCTTCTCCCGGTAATTGTAGAGGATGGCCCGGATTTCCACCTGCTCGTTGCGCACAACAGAGTAGGGCAGCCGCAGGTCGATGAAGAAGTCCTGCATCACCGTGACCTCGTAGGGGTCTGCCACGCAGATCCCTGCCCGGGCAGAGACAGAACACGCAGCGTGGAGGGCAGAGGGTTGGGAAGAGCAGACAGAGCCAGGTTCCAGGTCCAAGTTCCTGCCCCTCCTGGGGTCTCTGCTCTCACCCCCTCACTATAGGAGCTGCCCCTAGTTCAGCCTGTCTTTGCAGAGGCCCATCGACAAAACGCCATTAATGGTGACACACTGCAGATGGCGGCCGTGGCCGGGGTTACTGTTCTTCAACGATTTCGATTCTCTTTGCAGACATAGATGCATAGGGAGGAAGTAGGCTCTCCGAGATACACCTGCATCTCCAAAACGGTAGCCCCGGCTTTGCGGCTGCTGAGCACTCAAAACGTGGCTAGCTCGAGGGTGAACTGGGTTTTTACTTTTATTGAGTGCACTTTTATTTAAATGTCTTTAATTTAACTCAGATTAAAACTTAAACACGGATGCTCACTGTGAATGCACAGAGCACCCCTGAACCGCACATTTTCAAAGGGTGATTTCTACGGTGAGTGACTGAAATCTCCATTTTTAAAAGATGACGCTTGATTCAGTGGCTGGGAAGGGTTTAAGTGCGTTTGCCACAACTTGAGTATGAGAATTTACCTTTTCAACTGTAAATTTCGTGGCACCTAAACTAACAGATCAAAGTGTTCCCAATGAAACTCTAGCATCGTGAGTGAGATACCCTGGAGTGTAAAATAGACGCTAGACTTCGAAGACCTAGTAAAATAGATCATTAGTAATTTTTTGTATATTAATAAATTATTATTAAATATTAAAAGATTTATTGTAAGGCTGGGCGCGGTGGCTCACGCCTGTAATCCTAGCACTCTGGGAGGCTGAGGCGGGCGGATTGTTTGAGCTCAGGAGTTCGAGACCAGCCTGAACACAGCTAGCAGAACAGAATTGGGGTTTGAGTT